GCGGCGGCGGCGTCGGGCGGGCGTCGAAGGCGGCGACGGGGCGGTGGCGGCGGGCGACGGGCGCCGCGCCACAGCCAGGGCTCCCTCTTTTCCGGCGGCGAGCCCGAGCTCAGTCCCGGGGATTGCCCCTTCCAGGCCGTCTCCTACATCAACGTGGGCGTCTTCCACGTCTTCGACGAGGCCGGCGTGGAGGTGCACTGCGGCGGGCACCCCTCCGTCGAGCTGCCTGGCTACTCGCCCATGGACCCCGAGCTCAACGCCTCCTACCCCTACTGCTACCCGGTGCCCAGCGAGCAGCCCCCTGCCTACGAGGAGATCTACCCCGGGGAGCCCTGCGCTCACGGCACCTAGCGCGGACCGCCGGCGGGACGTCCGGCTCCCCGCCCGGCCCCTGGATCTCCGTGACAGCCGGGAGCGGGACCTGCACCGGGACTGGGAGCGGGCCCGCCAGCACCTCGCAGCCGCGGGGCTCGGGGACGAATCTCGCATCACCGACGGGATGGCCCCTCTGCCGCGGCCGCAGCTTGCCACGGGCGGGGTGCCGCCGTGCCTCTGGCTCTGCGGAAGCTTCTCCTCCCTTCTTCCCTGCTTTCCCTTTCCTCCCCCTCTTCCTTCACCCACACCGACCCTTCGTCCGCCGGCGGCTGAATTTTCCGAAGGCTGCGCAAGAAACGCCTAAGGGTTGGTTCCTCCCGTCACCTCTCCTCTGTAGCCAAGTTTAGTTCCCTTCAAGTGATTCATCAGTCTCCAGCTTTAGAAGTCCAGAGTTACCCATTTATGATAACCAGCCAGTGTAAGGAAAAGGTGTCATGAAGCTTCTTTACCTCTCAAAAGAGCTAAATTTCTAAACAACGCAGAGACATTTGTGTCACGTTTACTAGAGGTGTATTGGGGATCTTTAACGTTTACACTACTCCTTGGGAGAATTGAGTTCTGTTTAAGATTTAGTGAGTTAAAACATTCGTTGGTCTTGTAAGATGCACATTGAGAAAAACCTGCACTTTGAAAAAGAAACAGGAAAAAAAAAAATCAACGTTTTTGTACACTGACGTGCCTGCTTTTGTTGATAACTTCTTACTGTAAAAGCTTTCAGAAGTCTATAGTGAAAATGTTTGGTAAATTCACTGCAGTTTAAAATTGATGATTAGTTCCTTTACTAAAATTACTGAGATGTTGCTAGGATATGGCAGTTAAAAAGGAAGTCCAAATGTCATACACATTCCTTTTTGTAAACAGGTTCTGTGTTTTTAATGCAAGGCAGGATTTCTTTTTGTTTTGCACAGGTGAAGGGTATAATTCTATTTTGTACAACTACATGGTTTACCTTGTAAAGAGTTCCATTTTATCTGTTACAATTCATCAATCTGGTAAGCTTGAATAGTACAAGTTTTATTCGAAAAATATATATATATTGTAAACAGCCTTAACTGGTGCAGTAGTCACAGTTTTAAAGGAGAGGTAAAAAAAAAAAACCATCCTGGAAGACATCTTCCACATGTGTTTTCAAAACGGTATTTATACTCTTATTTTAAAGTAAGGAATTTTTTGTTTGTTTTGTTTATTTAAAGAAAGACCACTATGATTTCTGAAAAGGGGGAGGGGAGAAGTAATGGGATTGTATTCTGTTAACTCTTCATGAACTTAGAAGTATTAAAAAGGTTTTCTGCAAAAAGAAAAAGTGCTAAATCCTCCTTTTGGATTTTGCTGTGGAACGCCACTACCAGATAGTGTAAAAAAAGTATGAATTAAAGAGAAGCAGGTATGGCATATTTTATTACATCATTTGAGAACAGGCAAAGGCTTGATTTCATGTCGCACAAAGAACCAAAAAGCAACTCTCCCGGTTGCGTTTGGTTCAGTACCTCCTCCTCCCGTTACAGCATACTGAAATGAAGTATTACAAAATAACCTTTTTGTTAATCCTGTGTTTGGAGCCTGCTGCATAATGCCAGTGTATCAGCTACCCATAGGCAGAGGGGGGAAAGAGAGAGGAGAGTGAGTTAAGGGTATGCAAAGTTAGTCTATTTCTGTGGTTGATGGAAGATTATTTTGAACTTTTTAGCTGCAGAGAGGCTGACGTAATTTGCAGCCTTAGAACTGGAGAGAGAAGATTTTAGCTTAAAATATTCAAATATCTCTGCACTGTTTTGTTTTCTAAAATGTTTTGGCTTGCACACTTTGTATAATCTAAAATGCAGAATGCCTGAGAAGTCTCAAAGTTGCAAACTGATGTCTGTGAAGCTCACAATTAAAGCTCTGATCTAGAGAAGAGACTAAATAGCAGCAGTTGCCAATTTGCCAAGTAGTTCTAAATAGAAATTTAAAATAGAGCTCCTTTTGACCAGCAGATTTCCTAGTGTGGAATGCCAGTCTAAAACATATGCCCTAGCTAATTCCCATTTTAGTACTGAAGACTGGTTTTATGCTGCCTCTCTGCAGATGCACCTCCTTAACCCATTACGGGAAAGTGACTGGAAGTCCCATAATCTTTTCCTAAAATACTGATTTAGGCACAAGACCGATTCCATAATGTATTGCTCATACAGATGAGATTTTGCAAAATGAGTAACTAAAGCAAGGAGGCTAAATCCTTATGTAAGTCTCCAATTGGATGAGTTTATGAGACAGCATAGTACCCGATACTGAATTAAATGGGAACTTCTAGACTGCAGGGTGATTGTGAAAAGCAGACCAGCTAGGTGCCTAAATACAGATGCAGACATGTAATAATAGTTGTTGGTTTTTTAAAAATTGGCTATATACATCGTAGTTCATGGAAGTTGTATTCTAGTTTTACTTAAGGAATTGATTTTTGACATAAAAAGACAGCATTTTACTTAAGATGACTATTTTAGGAATTATGAACTAGACAATTCTGAAACTCCAGATGTTCCAAAGATCAGTGCTCAGGGAAATAAATGGGAAGTCGAGAAAGCTACCTATTATGCTCAATTGTTTAAATGTAAACAATTTTAGACTATGAATTTTTAAGATTGTTAAATTCATAATTTTTTTTTTCTGTGTATGTGTGTACATGCCTGTGTAAGTGTGTTTGTGTTTTATTTAAGTCTTTCCAGAATGCCATTGAATTAGAATATTTATTTGTTGCTCAGTTTTAGTTCCCAAATTTCTACTTTTCTTCATTTGGGCTTTTATCCCCTGTAATAGCTTAATTTAGTGATGGACAGATTGCCAGAATAATGTCCAAGCTGGACTCCCACAGAAACCAGTAGGCATCATTTCATTGACTTCAGTGGATCTGGGTACAAATGATATGTAACACCTACTCTAAGTAATCTTCAAAGCAGTCTTGATCTTCTGGCATGACAGGATGCAGCAGTGGCATATTATTTCTCAGTTATTTGTGGTTTGTATGGACAGCAGTATTAAGGGAGGTCACCTATGGCATTATACGCATTTTTTTAAAAGCAGGAAAAAAAATTGGCAGGCAAATTGACCAAACAAGCCATGTTTTCTTAAAGATGGTATATCAGTGTTTCAGGTACCTGGTGACTAACTTTTCTGATAAAACACCACACGAATTTATTTCTCGGTGAGAAGAAACTTCTAAATACAGGATACAAGATGAAGCTTCACAAGCATGATTGCAGTATTGTGAAGCTGTTTTTAGTAAATCTGAATCATCCTTATATCTTCTGAGCAATAATGTTAGAGTGTATAAACTATACAGTGCTGAAATTGAAAATAGGCTGGTGTGGGAAGCATTGAAGCTTAGGTTAATTACCTGACAGGACTCATACCATCCCTTTTTTTTCCTTTCTCTGTCACATGCTTGTAAGGGGACTGCAAACCTGATCGATTCATGTCACTGGAGGGTGTTAACTGCAAGGCTTTTGCCTTAACTAGCAAGGCCAGGGAGAGCAGAAGAGAAACATCATGTATGTGTTGTCAAGTCTCCATTTTGCCTAGCTGAAGTACTGACGAGACTGCTTTTTGCCCCTTGGCTTGCTGTTTTAATTTGCTTACAGCTTTACTCACATCTGTTCAAAGGGAGGGAAGAATAGATTCTGTTTTGGTCACAGTGGAGTACTGATTTAGTAGCAGACTGCTCTCAGCTTTCCTGTCCCTTCTGCAGGTAATAGCGGCTAGTCAAGGGATGAAACGGTGGAAAATCAAGTCTGCTGTCTTTGATGAGACAGGATTTTCCTTCATGTGGAAAAAATATATTCCCACCAGCCTATTAGCAATTCACATGAATTATTTTCACACTCCAACATCCTTGCTTAAGTCTGTTACTTATACTTCGCATTGTAATTGACAGAATATACATAAATCTAAAAACAGCTAAAAATGATGTCAGAGGGAAATTGTGTTCAAGTAGTACAGATTTTACTCGAAAGTTTGATTTCACTGTAGGACTTCTTTGGTTCACCAAAAAGCGCTATGGTGGCTGGTACAACTTAGATATATTTCAGACATACTGTTTAATAACCAGAAAAGGTTTCTGAATGTTCACATGAGAACGGCAATCTGTTTCTGCTTTTGGATATAGTACCTATGAAAACCTTTTCTTCATTTTGCCATTTAATCCCAGATTGATCCTCAAGAAAATGTCAGTAATTGATCTTGTAACTTTAGGATCAATAAAATAAGTTTTAAAGCACAGCATATCCTATAAGAAAAGCCTAATGCTCTTCATTTCATATTCTTTATTGTCTTAGATGGATGTCTAGCAGCACAACTGAAACTAGTATTTGATTACCATTTTCATTACAAAAACTTGTTTTTCAGGGACTTACAACTGATACAAGTGGAACCGTGACATAAAATTCCAGATTTTACCGTGAAGTTGAATCTGTTTCTGTAAGTCAGGTATTTCTCAGTTACAAGATGTTAAAATATTTTAGATAAATTCTGCTGGTAAAAATCTGTTCATTTCATATGATGGCACTCTTTAGGTGTGCCAAAGTTACCTCTTCTTAATACAGGCCCATATTTCCAATTAAAATGCATAAGGGTAAGATTTGAATTCCTCATGATCACTGTCCAGTTATCTCTCAGTAATTAATGTGACTGGTGCTTAGTACATGTTCCAGAATCAGCAACAGGTGATGTAATAACAGTTTAACAGGTAATAGATGGTCTCCAGGAAGTCCACAGACTAATGGAATGCTGGGCAAAAAAACTTCAAATACCTGTTGCAACAATTCAGCATACAGTGTTTCCTGCCCAAAAGGAGGCGCTGCCCAAACAAAGCAACTAGAAGAAATGTGAGAGTTTTAAGTTGGGTGCATGGAGTTTGTATGTTCTTATTCTTAAAATATCAGTTCTGAAACTCTCCCTGCATAACTTTCAAAGAGTGAAATTGCCAAACTGGTGTTCTAATGATAGGATTCAGATAACTGTCTCACTCTCTGCTGGCCAGCTGTGCCGTGTGCTTTCTGCCCAATGTTCAGGCCCGTGGTGAAGTTCAGCTGAAGTTTATTGCTGTGTCGCCCTAATGTCATCCAAGATAGTCTGTAACTGAAGATCAAGTCTTTTAAGAAGCCATGAGACTCTCTGAAGTGTATTTCCTTTGCAGGAGAAGAAAGTCCCGCTGTCCTCTTTCATTCCATCTTCAGACCCAGCTGCCTTAAACTTCATTGAGTTTACCTTGTGGTAGGAGTGGAGATGACATTGCAGATTGCTGCTGCTTCTGTCATGGAATTTTAAATATCTGGAAGACCTCCTTAAGCTTTATGGAAGGAAACACTTCTAGTGAAAAACACATACTGACTCATCACCAGACCACAGAAGAGTCAGTGTCCTGAGTGAAGCTATCCAGTAGAGGTATTCCCATAGCAATATAACATAGCATAAGCTCCCAGGGTTTTCACTTACAGAATTCTTCCCCTCCCATGGGTCTGTTTAATGGGAAAGTTCATTTCATGGTCTTTTCACGTGAATCATTTGTTTCACTACAGCAGGTAGGATTTAAACACCTACTAAATACCTCAAGCATCTTCACTAGTTGGTCTCCTCTGTGGCCATTGTTAGCAGAGGATAAAGTGAAGTGTGGGAGGAGAGAAAGCTTATCGTGATCCTCTTAATGGGTTCAGAGGACTAAACGTTCCAAAGCATTCATTGGTTTTATATTAAGATTTGAGAATGGAAGAATACCTATAATATCTAAAAGGATTATTTTCCAGGGTTTATATTTTTGGAAACCTAATACTTGGGTTTAGAGGAGGTTCTTTCACAATTTGCTTTTTCTCGCAGGTTCTACATTTTACATGAAAGCTCATCTTACAGAAATACTCAGTGAAATGTCCAGGCATTTAAATTATTAAATTTAGGGAGATTAAGTAGAGCTGTCCTACAAATTACTGAGTGCCACCAGTTCCTGTAGAGGTCATATAAGGAGTTTGACACATGGTGCGGATGAGGCCTTATAAGCCAACATCCAGATTTTGGCATTTCCTCACAAATGAAGGAGGCAACAGCACAGAGTTGTGCTACAAAAAGGGAAGTCCCAGGCAAACCAGTCATGGATTTGGGATGACCAAATCCAGTCGTGGATTTGGGATGTGTAAAGTCTTAAAGTCTGTGCAACTGCCATCCATTCATGATTAAAAGGAATGCCTTACAATGATTGTCAGTCATGGATCAGAGTAGAGGCTGGTATTGGTAACTCTAGGTCAGATGACTCCTAGAAACATGGAAAAGTTCTAACAAAAGAAGCTCATGCTTTCACTGGAAAGGAAAGAGCCACTGAAAAAAATGCTATTTCCTTGCATTTTGGAATATTTACAATTTCCTGAATGACACAGAAGCTACTGGTGGGTGCAGATCATCTAAATTAGACTCCTGGGAAAACAGGAAATGGAAATACAAGTGTTAAAAGCTACCTAGTCTGTCCAAAATCTGTTGATGCATAATCAAAGGCTGTGAATTCCAGGAGCAGAGCCTCCTGCCCTGGGCATTCAAAATTACTAGCAATTGAAAAAATTACTACCACCAAAAAAAGCCTGTGAGATTAAAAAAAATCATACACTGCTTTCTGATTCATTTTTTGCTCTCAATCAAAAGGAAGGAAATTCTGATAAAGCTCTGTGTGAAACTATTGATAAGAAATATGGTTTGTTATGCTGAATGGAACATAAGGGTGCTTCTTTCAACAAATTTGGAGCAGATAGCTGCACAGAAATGTATTTGGCTAGCATAGAGACTTCCTTCCTTGGAGAGCTACCAGAAAAATGTTGAAAGGCACCATCATCGTCCGGGTTTACCTGGACCATTGTTCACTGCACTGAGCTTCATGTTCCCCTGTTCAGTGTACCTGTGTTGTCTTCTCAGTGGGAACAGGCAGCTGCTGCTTTTGACACCACTAAGTCAGAACCTACTGGATACATGGAAGGAACTTCTGAAGCCCTGGAAATCAGTGCCCTGTGGCACTGTTCTGTGTGTGCTGAGAGAAGGTAAGGCGGGCCATGCTGCAGCCCAAGTGAAATGCTGTCCTGTGTTACAAGAATGAGGAAGACAGATTGCTGTCGCAGTTCCAAGGCCCCAGACTTGTTACACAGCGGCACTGGGTGCGGCAGACCTAGGCTGCATTTGTGAAACTGCTCCTGGGTCATTTTTTCTAAAGCAAGATGTTCAAGTCAAGTGGAGTGGGGAGAGGAGAACTGTCTTTATCCCCCTCTGAACAAAACAAAAGTGATCCAATTGCAGACTTTCACTACAGAGGTGTTAAATTCTGTCTTGGGTTCAATATTTATCTTCTACTCCCTCTAGCAACTCCTCCAAAGGAACAGCATGCACACAGGCCTAGGATGGCAAAGTGCACACTCTCTGTTTCCTCTGTGCTTGGGGGAGAGCCTATTAACGGTGTACTGAATTACTCAATCATCTGGTGGGGCAGTAATTAGAAATGAACAACAAACAATGTTTGCCACATTATAAGAGCTGTGAGATGCTCTGGGCTGCCTTTTGCTGAAGGGCTGTGGCAGTTCTTACCTGTCTAAGGTCTACAAGACCCAGAGGTCCACGAAGAGGATCCTGTTGGAAGTTTTCCTGGAACGATTTATCTCAAAAGTCAAAAAGCAACCCTGACCCTGTTTCAGTAAATGCATCTTGGCATCCAAGCATGAAAAGAAGAAAAGCATAAACAGGGCAGAACTGTTCGTTCGTAGTTCATTAATTTTTCATCAAGGGCAGCAAAAAGACAAACATTAGTGTTAACATCTCAGATCCAGAGAATTGTTTCATTGTAAGAGGTTTTGAAGCTGAGTGATAAGGAAGCAGCAGAAGGTATTTACACTGAAAGAAAATGGATATTTCACAATTCTGCTGTCAGACCATTCATAATGTTAGCAAAAGCTAACAATAGCATGAATTTCAGCTTGCCTTATATATGCAGCTGTAAATGCTTCAAATCTCCATATGACTATTCAAAAACTTGTACACGTGACTCGACTAGACTTGCAGTCTGGTACCTACTGTGTTCATAGCTACATGTTGGGAGCTTTCAGTCTTGTGTGTGTGTGTGGCAAAGATGTGTGTGCTGGCTGTGGACACATGGTCATCTTCATCTTTCCTACTGCCACTGCGGGGAGAAGCTAACCCGTTCTGTTTGTCACTGCAGTGGAGCATGAGAGTGCCCCCACTCAGCCACTAAATCTCAGCTGAAGTGCAGGCACTTCCAGCATCGTGGAGCCACATCTGGCTCTTCCCTGATCACAGTCCAGGGTGGGCCCCCAGTGAAACCTGCAGGTCTGTGGACAGGAAAATACCAGCACACTTTTTCACAGGTCTCACAAGGAAAAGAGGCAGTCTGGGGACTGTTAAGGTCTTCAGCTGCTCATCTTAAACTTGAGACCAGTGAGATACTCATTAGCAGAGCCTCAGTATGCCATGGGGCAAAGTACAGCACACCAGGAGGTCAGGTGCCACAAGGAATACCTTTCCTCCCTGAAGGAGGTATTGTTGTCGCAGGACCACACAGAAAAGAGACTAAAGCACTGATGTCCCTAACTTACAGAGTTGTCTAATTTGAGATAGAGAGGGCCATGGTCCTGTGCTGTTATCCCCCGGCCCTACAGCTTATCATATAATGCACATCGATACATGTAGAAAGTAGGGAGAGTGGAATGACAATCACACATTTAACCAGTTAAACACCAATGGACCAGCCAAGGGGCAGATAGGGAGTTAAAACACAGAGGCAACCTAATCGTCATTCTGCCCTCCTGGGCATATATCTGGAGAATTTTGGTAGGCAGGGATTTTGTGGGGAGAAGTTTTAACTGCATTGGGTGGAAAGAACACCCCTCTCTACAATGGAATTGTCAGGGTATTTCCAGAAAAAAAAATATTCACCTTGTTACAGCAGTATGGAAACCCAAAAGAAATTACCAAGTAAGGTAGTTCAAAGAGGAGAAATCCAGCTTAAACCCACACAAACAGAGTAGAATCTGATCTCTTAAAATTTCACACTTCTTCTTTCTTTTGGAACAGTCACGTCATTTTGTTCTTTACATTTTCAGCTCCAGCTCTCAGGCAAGATAGAAGCTGGTAGGAGGCAGACACTGATAAAGGCTGTACTGGCAAAGTGTCAGGTAAAGGGAAACCATTTTTACATTTCTGCTCTGACAAGAGAGGACAATATATTCTAGCCTGGAAGCT